TTAGGGTATCAGGCGTGGCAGTGAGCTCCACCTGTGAGGGATAAACTGCAAGCCTTGTCTTCAGCATTCAGACATGAATCCTGATTGGCTCACAGCCGGACCGAGCACGGTAACAAAAGGAAACGGGTGTGAGATGCGCTCCAGACTGGAGACGTAGGCTCTTAGACCCTCCTGAAATCTCCCTCAGGAATGCTGTCCTAGGGAGTCTGGATCAGGATCTCGTTAGATCCAGAACATTCAGAACAGAATCCGATGAGAACCTGGCCCGTCGCTGTAACTGTCCCAGAGTGGTCCGGTTTTTCTGGTTTGATGGGAATCTTCCGGCCCTCCGGCTGTCTTCTGTCCCGACTGCTTTTCCTCTGAGGGGATTATTTGCACACTCCCTCTTGCCGCATCACGCTTCTCTAAATTCCTCTGATGTTTGCGTTGAGGCGTGAAACGAGCACAAGCTTCTAGAGCTGCTGCTGCGACCTTTGAACCCTGGAGGCTTCATTGGTTTCTCTGTTTGGTGCCAAAGTCAAACTCGGAGGAGGGGTGTGTTCTCAGATACTTCAGCTGATAACCTGTGCAGGTGTGTGAGTCTGTCGGGTGTCTGCGGTGGAACCTCCCACGGAGATCTGATCCGACTGGATTCAGACAAAAACATCAGAGGTCATTAGGCTGAGGATTCATTTCTTATGAAAATAATTAATCACAGACTAATAAATTAATTAGTCCAACGTAGTTCCTGTAGTGATGTAAGCCAGGGAGGCGGGGCTAATTTAAACTGTAGTCTGCTCTGATTGGTTGGCTCCAGGTGGACAGGCTCAGCCCACCAATCAGCCTCGACTCTCCTCGTGGTTTTTTTTTTCTTTTACTTTGAGGAAACAAACAAAACAAAGTTTCTGGAGAACCGCAAACCTTTTAATCCAGACAGGAACTCGTTTTGTTTTCCAATCCCAAACGATAAAATGCCTTCACACCAGTGGCGGCTCCAGAAATGTTTTTCTGCAGGTGCTATGAAGGAGCTAGTCTTTTTATTGAGGGTGCTATGCAGGAAGTGATCATGCGTACCTATTGTTCTCTAAAACACCTTCAACACTAGCAGATACACATGCGTGCACAAAACCTCAACAACACCTGAAACAATCATTAATATACATCATAAACATGTGAACAATTGCTGACTTTTCCATGAAATCATGAACACATACAGCCACACATAAAACCACCTATAGTGTTGCAAGGTTAGCTAACGTTAGTGTTAGCATTTCCAGCGGCAAAACCCTGGACTGCTGCGGCGGTTGAGGGTTGACTCTCTTCATCCAGATCCGTAGGTTTTTGTGGGTCTGAGATCACTTCCAAACATTCATTCGTTCCTGACTGAACCCGTGGAAATGTGGGCAACAAACACTGATCCATTTTACCACTAGCTCTACCTTTCACTCATTCACAGGTGGAAAATGAGGTCAAAGGTTAACATCAATTTCCTGTTTTGGTTTAAGTTTTTACTATCTATATGATAATTTACTGATTATTTTTGTTTTGTATGTTAAATATTATCACATCCACACGTTAAGTTAAAATTAAATTGTAAAAAAAAAAATCTAATATTTACTTGGGGGTGCAATGACTAATCCATGGGTAGCTATAGCGCCCCCTGGCGCCGCCACTGCTTCAGATTAAAGTCTGATCAAACAGTCTGAAGTTTTATCAGAAAGAGTTTCAAGTCAAACCAGAGTGTCAACATTATGAACAAAAACTCATCTACACAGGAAATCTAATCTTTTCTAATCTAGCAGATTATAAAAAGCTGTTGTTGCTGTTGACTCGTGACCTGTGACCTATCAGAAACACGTTTGCTGGTTTTTACCATGTGGCTGCACGCTGTAGCCCCAAAGCCATAATCCGTGATTATTTTATCACCACGTGGGTGTTTATAATCCTGCTGTGTGAACTGGGCCTAATCTGCTAATCTGAGACTGGAGAGGATGAATAAAAAAAGACCAAAGGGATCAAATCTAGGTTCCCATAAAACTATTTTATAAAAGATTTTTATTCAAATTAGGAAATTTCATGAAAAAATCTGCTTATTCCTCTAAAATGTTCATCATAAAGGAAGTTCACCGAACCTTGCTCCTACAAAATAAATGCCCCAAACATGGACTTTACAGGACAGACAAGCCGTCCCAGTAAAACGCAGCAGGTGAAAATAATCTGAACATCGACAGAAGAACCCTGCAGCTGGATTAAACCCATCTCTATTAACATCATCAGATTTAAGGTAAATGTGAGACAGTTGAAGAGTCGAGACTCGCCGGTGTGTCGGTTTTACATCTTCTGGGTCTCAAACGAGAGCTCTGATCTTTCTGTGAGGAGAAGCTGGTGTCTGACTGACTTCAGTTTGGAGAAACAGATTAAATCTGACAGGACTGATGCTAGCGGCTAGCCCGAACACGCCCCAGATTAAAGTGGATGTAATCATCTATAACCCCTGTTTTAACAGAGCTCTATGTCAGCGCGGTTCTATAAACTGCTGCACCTCCCTCAGGTTTGCCAGCCAGGTGTTAGTGTGTCTGTGACTGGCAGCGGAGGTGTTTGTTTCAACGGTGACCTCACTGGAAGCGGTTTATCTGGAGCTGCTGGTGACCGAGCACTTCCTGTTGGTTGTTTTATTAGAATCAGGAACTTCACATCTGCAGGAATTCCTCACCCTCAGACAAAGAAACACAGTTTCTGTGCAGCATTTCTCTAATTCAGGTTCATCCATCCTGCTGTACTCCCCTCACGTCTAAAAATAAACCCGATCGCTGGAAGACGTCAAGCTGCAGCGTCAACTTCACTCAACTGGAGGAATCTGGATGGACCGCTCGGGCGGCTGGCGCTGCGTACGTCTGTCCCAAACAGGAAATCAGAAATTAAAACTAAACACACCCTCGGTCGTAAAACACTTTCACTGTTTGGAGATCAAATCTGAGGAAGGACAAACTCCGGAACTTTTTTCTGCGAGTGTGAATGTGTGGATATGTATTTTTCAGGAAACCTTGTGAGAGGAGAGCTGGTCCTGGTGTTATAAACCAAATTCTGCGACCCATCACAATTCGTGACCCCAGGGGGCAGTGTTGTGTTTTGTTGCGTCTGTACATACCGAATTGGCATAAAAGAAGAAGATGCTACGTTAAAACAGTAAACTACGTAAGCTTTGAGGAAGTTGTGCGGCGCAGACCATGGTCACACAATATGATGGTGGCTATCACAGAATGTGACCACCTGCATCTCAGTAATAATGCAGATGTCAGAGGTCAAATGCACTTTTTTTTATAAAGTACATCATCAGAGAAGTTACCAGAAACAGTGTGTGTGATGTACAAGTCATTATAACTGAAGTTACAGTATGGTCACACAATATGATGGTGGCTATCAGATAATGTGACCACCTGCATCTCAGTAATAATGCAGATTTCTTTAATTTTCACTAAAGACAATAACAACAAAAGGTGTTTCGTGATGTTTTCATCATTTTATTTCCCTTTTATCTCCACCAGTACATATGAGAGGCATTGGAGCGACAGGAAAAAAAACGTAGCAACCAGATAATCTGCAGTGGTTTCTCATAAACTGAGGATGCGGATCACAACAATTTATTTCAATAAATGGAAGTTCTGAACATTTTACCTGCGGACCTCGCATGTTGTAAAATCAATGTTTAATGTTAGCAAACATTTCTCGTCAAAGCCCTGCTTATCGCTGCAATTATTGTCCCGTTTGTTTGCAATAAACATTAACAAACGCATCGCACAATTTCCTCAAAGCTTACATAGTTTACGGTTTTAACGTAGCATCTTCTTCTTTTATGCCAATTCAGGATGTACAGACGCAACAAAACGCAACACTGCCCCCTGGGGTCACAAATGGTGATGGGTCGCAGAATTTGGTGTAACACCTGGTCAAGTCCAGAACTGGTCTCGTCTCTGACCTCTCAGGGTTTGAACTGCGGGAGGAGGTCACATGACTTTTGACAACCAGTCAAACTACTCAGATCTGTTGCTGTATGCAGAACCGGCGCTGAGAGGCAGGCTTGGGTCCGGATCTCTGGAGGTTCAGTCTGAGGGAAACCTGGACCGTGAAGATCAGCTGCACACATTAGCAGTTTGAACACGAGCTGATGCGCATATTATCCTGCAGCCCGGTGAGACGGCGGCTTTAAGGGTCATGTGACCTTTTGTTTGCTGGCCGATTTATGGGAGGAGAACCAGCTCCCGTCCAAACGATTCCTGCTAAAGTGGGAGGTTCTTTGTTCATCTAGTGGCCGACCGGGTGCCGTTTCTATGGTTACTGATGAACTACACACTGTTTGTTATTATCAAAGGATTTTATTTGTAATGAGTCAGTTTACGTAGATGGTCAATAGTCCACCCTGACCTTCAGGTTCAGAACTGAGGATGAAGTTCACTCTTCATCATCAGAGTTGTGTTTGTCCTCCTGCTTCTGGAGGATGAACTTCTCAGTGGGACTAAGGCCTGGGGGGGTCTCCTAGACCTGAACCCAAGTCTGTTCTGACTTTATCCTCCTGGCCCAGTGCTCCATCATGCTGGAGAAGACACTGGGTGTCATCAAGCTACTGATAAACAGTTAAAGGTGTTCTTCTGGGAGGATGTTTAGGTACCATTCTTTATTCATGGCTGTTCTGATGTTCTCAAGAGGGACCCCACGGTTTAAAAATGACGATATACAGTACTGTGTGTTTCCTGTGGAGAGTGAAATCTGCTCCATGGAGGGGGTGGGATTTGCAGCTCTTCCTTCAGATTTAAAGAGACAGAACCAAAACGGCCATTCTCAGACTCTCTTCAGAACGGGTAGAGGAGGGGTCTGAAGAGCAACAGTAATGAGGAAATCAGACCCAAGAACTGCTGCTCTGTTATATTTGGACCACAACTCAACCATTTAGCTGCAAAACAGAAGAACTAAGAGGCATGAAATGTCTTCTTTAAGCTGTCTGACATCTCCGTTGTGTTTTCCAGGAGGAGGAGGAGGTAGTGGATGAAGAGGTGGAGGAAGACGATGATGACGTGGACAATGGATCAGTTGAGATTGAGGAGGTGGAGATAGTGAATGTGATCCAGCAGAAACAGTCGCCAATCTCAAAGACCTTCTCCAGGATTGACCTGAAGGAGACGGCGATGGTGCCGGAGCCGCCGAAGCTCGACACGCGTTACTTTGGAGAGCTTCTGGCTGACGTCTACAGGAAAAACTGTGACATCCACTCCTACATCTCTGACCACGTGTCCCGGATCCGTGGACTGTAAGTCCTCAAACGTCGCCGACACAAAAACTTTACAAACACAGAACATTAAATAATTGAACAAATCTTTATGATGTGGCAGGATATCCATCAGTTTTAGACCTACAAACTGAGGTTTCTAGGACTCGGTGCAGCTTGAGATGATTCTGGAGGAAGTTGCTCATTTCTCTCATTTATCCCGAAAGCCCAAAAGACCCAAAAGGCAGATTAATAAACTTTGTGTGAGAAAATGAGTTAGAATAAGATGCAAACGTGATTTTTCCCCAGTTTCTTTGTTGCTTGGATACATTTATTATTTATTCATAACAAATGGGGTCATTTAGCAGTTCTGTCTAAATGAGCACTCTGCTTAGGGGGAATTTAACCTGCAACCCTCAGTAAACCCTTATTACACTACAGCGGGCTCCTGTAGCAGCAGCATCATGAGTCCAAGTCCGTCATTTGCCGAAGCTAAACAACTGCTCTGTACATATGAAACATATGTAGGATGGCTTTTTAAGCTTTGAGGAAATGGCATAATTTTAGGAGAGTTTGTCTTCGTTTGAATTTAGACGCGATTCTGTCTGCTCTTGTTGGTAGGAAGGCGTCAGCGACTGAGGTAATATTCAGATTCATCAGATTCTTTCAGCCGGGTCTGACTCCTGATTTATGAAAATTTTCATCCCCGTGGCACAGTTTTACTCAGAAAGAGTCAGATTATCTGGACGGTTCTCCTTCAGGCAGGTAAATACACCTGGAAGGGTAAAGAACAGGATGACACAAGCTGTCATCAGGTGGTTTAGGTATTTGATTCATGTGGAGTTGTGTGTGAAAGAGTGAAGCTTTCGGATCATAAATCGTCTTCAACTTTTCACCTCTCTGAGAAACTCTCAAATGTCCCATTGTTCCTTAAAGTGTCGTTTTTAGCGTTAATCTCTGGGATTATCCATGGAAGTGCTGTTTACCTCTGCACCTGCTGCCAGTGATGGAGGGGGTCCGATGTGCTTGTCATTTTGCTGTATTGATGCGGACTTGGGCGAAGGGCATTACCCACAATCCATTGCTGCGGGGGAGTTTTGAGGAGGCGGAACAATGGCTCAAGTGCCTTTTCTGAAACTATGTATTTTCAGATGTAATTATGGAAATATTGAGTATTTTACTGTGGTGTACATTTATAATTACAGTCACATGTCCGCATCAGTTTGAGAAGAATGACAAATCATCCTTTACAGAGTTGGTGTTTGTGTCTGAAGAACTTAGAACATTTCAGCTATGAGGAACTCGGCTGCCTTCAAACGGGTTCGGTGTAAAAAGTCAAGGACACGATTAATGACCTGCACCTGTATGGCACCTTTCTGAGTCAGAATACTCCAAAGTGATTTACACTACATGCACACGCTGAAGGTGATGAGCTACAAGTCAGGGCATTTACATACCTGTCAGAGACGACCTGGACACAGGTGTGCAGTGTGACAACAGAGAGGGGAGGGACTTTGCGCCTGTTTCAAGGAGCGGGTGTGAAACTTCACGTTATTAAACATCGAGTCTGAAAATGTCTGCAGACAAACCCCCACCCACCTCCATCATTCTTGAGTCATTGTGAGAAAACGTCTCTACACACACACACACACACACACACACACACACACACACACACTCCTCATTGTTTCTTTTCCTCTCGGTGTTCTACAGGAAACACCAGCTGGATGGAAATGACAAGGTGAGCCGCCGGTCTGAACTGGACCTTCTTCTGTGTTTGAAGCTAATCCAGACATCTTTAGTGTTCTGTAAGCGGACCACGAGTGAGAAAAGACACGTGAACGTGGGAGGGTGGGAGCAGAGCTGCTGCTCTACAGGATCACTGTCAGACTTCAGGTTCATGTCTTGTTTTTGTCTCCAGGCTGATAAAGATGAGGTGGAAGCTTTGATTCCTAAAGGAGCCACTGAACTGACCAAACAACAGATGCGTTACCTGCTGCAGGTGAGAATGTCATCAGGATCGAAGCTCTCTGTGACGTTTAAAGGTCTGGGTTCTTCCATGACTCCCAAGTGCTCATTCACACACTGAAAGATAAAGTTAACACAAATATGTTTAAAATCTTTATTATTATTATTTATAATAAATCACAGTTAGAGTCCTGATGGATTTTTCATCAAGTCTTTCATGAACCATATGGATATTGTGCATGAAACAATAATTTTTTAAAATTTTTTATTTTTTATTTTTCTGTGTCCTGTCTGGCTGTGAAGCGAACAGAACTAGATAGATAGCATTTCTTGCAGAAATGCTGTTTGAATGCTGATTAGCTTAAACTGTTAGCTGAATCAGCTTAATAGCTGAACTAAAGCTGAAAGTAAGCAAAACTGTCAAAATGAGCTGAATGTGTTGAAAGATGTAGATGCAAAAATCACTAATGAGCAAATAAAGCACAAAAAGTAAGTGAAGAATGGAGAAAACTAATCCTAAAAAGCAAAAAACTAAAATCTGTGAACATTGTATAACAATGTGGACAGCTATAGTGTCTAAACACCTGTTAATTCAGTTGGACAAGTTTAACAGTTTAATCTTTACATTTAGCTGAACTGTGAAATTAGCAGCTTATGCTAAATTTGGTAACTGATTGCTGAAGTAGTTGAATAGCTGAAGTGAAGCTGAAACTAAGCTAAAGTGGCAAATGAGCTGAATGTAGTAAAAGATGTGAAAGCAAAAAGCACCAACAAGCAAATAAAGCACAAAAAGTAAGTGAAGAATCAAGAAAACTAATCCTAAACAGCAGAAAACTGAAATCTGTGAACATTGTTTCAAAAACTGGACAGCTAAAATGTCTAAACACCTGTTACTTCAGTAGGACTAGTTTAACAGTTTAATATTTACATTTAGCTGAACTGTGAAATGAGTAGCATAAGCTGAATTCAGAAACTGATTGCTGAAGCTGCTGAATGGCTGAAGTGAAGCTGAAACTAAGCTAAGCTGTCAAATTGAGCTGAATGTATTTAAAGATTTAGAAGCAAAAATCACCAACAAGTGTAATAAAGCTCAGAATATAGGTGAAGAATGGATAAAAATGCTAACAGCAGAAAACTTTAATCTTTGAACATTGATTAAAAACTCGAAATTTGAAATGTTAAACAGCTGGCATTTGAATGAGAATAGTTTAATGGGTACATTTTTACAATTGGCTGAACTGTGAATTTAGAAACATTTGCTGATATCTGAAACTGATAGATTAACATATGTTCAGACTTGATATGGGATGGATGAATGGTTGGATTAATGAAATAATGGATGGATGTTAGATGGTTTATTGGATGGATGGATGGATAGATAGATAGAAGCATGTATGGATTTATATGTGGATGGATGGATGGATTCCTTAGGCCAAGCCGATCGATTTGATGTCTCACATGCATGGGTGTGTAATTCCATTTAGCCAGAAGATGATTGACCTCTCTCAACCAATCAGGGAGCTGGCAGGGAGCGGGACACTTTCCCACCTTCTGATACTTCTGAAAATACTGCATTAAATTGCACATAAAATAACACGACCATAAATGGTAAATAGGCAATGCAAGAGGCAAGTAACAAAAACATTTTGTTTAATTTCAACATTTGAGTGAACACGAAAAAATATGAGCAGGTCACTGTAATCACTATGTAATGTAATGGAAGTAAACACTACTTAGACAAAATGCCAGAAATTTAGACTGTTAGGACTTATGGAAAGGGGAAACACTTTCATAGGAAATAATGTCATCAGTATCCTCTTACAAATGTCATATTTCCCACTTTTTGGGACAATAAAACATTTCTGGTTCTCAATGAGATGTTTTTACTTCAAATGTAAAAACATCTCATTGAGAATCAGAAATGTTTTATTGTCCCAAAAGCTGGGAAATTTGTTTGCTGCAGCAGAAGTGTAACAAGTAAAATGGAATCAGATTGATGTATGTACAAATTTACTTGAAATACACATTTACATGATTAAATATGTATAATAGGTATGTGTGTTGAAATTAGTTTTTACAGTTATTGCACATTAAACAATGTACATGTTATTAAACAAATGTCCCGGTTTGTGGGACAACCAAGGATTTCTGATTCTGATTGTCTTGTTTACAGAAATGTAATGTACAGCTTACCTCTGCACCCAGCTGCTGTTCTCCCTGTCCAAACGTCCTCCGTTTCTTTGTTGGCTGCTGCACTGATGTGCTGCATTCCTCAGTCAGAGAATGAATGGAGTCCCCAATGAGACACAAGTTCCACATCCACCTTCTGTGGATCCCAGCCGTTTTGAATAACAAACACAGAAAGCAAAATAACGCATTAGCGTGATTGCATCCAGCTAGCCACTGCTTCCTGGTGTACCAATTTTGGGAGAAGCGTTGTGTGTACAGTTTACCCTTCTCCTTGTCCTGCTGGCTTATCTTTACGTCGGGCTGATCTGGTCCAAGCTCTTTGACATTAAGTTTTTCCACCATAGTTCTCCTCTCGAACGGATACTGGAGAAGAGACCGACCTGAATTCAGTGGCTGCTGAGATCCGGTATCCATGTTGTAGGCGCACTGGCGTCCATGTCTACGTCTGTGTCATGACCGTCACGAGTCACGACCAAAAATGTGCTGGAGTCGAGACTCTCCGAGTTCTACCGAACACCAACGAAAGCCTTGGCGGTAGCTCTATCGCCCATCATGCTTCTGAAACGTTCTGAAACAACGTCGACGCTGATTGGATACATTCCCATTCCTACCCTTTGATTTTCTTGTCAGCAATTGGACAACTGGTCCCGTCTTGTTTGGGCGATTGAAAAACAGCACACAGCCTCCGCCGCTCGGCAGAGACCGGCAGAGATCGGCAGAGACCAACATATATATATATATATATATATATATATATATATATATATATATATATATATATATATATATATATATATATATATATATATACATATATATATATACATATATACATACATACATATATATATATATATATATATATATATATATATAATTTATTTTTGTTACAAAACACACAATTAACTTAGAAAATATGATTATTGTTAATTTTATTTATTTATTTTTTAAAATAAAAATTAAAAACACAGGGGAAACTGGGAGGGCGGCGCCCTATCGCCCTCTACTGGCCAGCCGCCGCTGCAGATAGTTCAAAAAGATCAAAAACAGGAGTCTGTTATTGGCTCAATATTCAGCTTTTTATATTCATTCCTATGAGACTTGGTTAAAGTGATTTGTAGTTCCTTGTGTTGCCATGGTAACAGATCACAGGAGTCTGCTATAATAAAGCAATGCGCAATGTCACATGACTCTTTAAAACTTTGAATAACATTTATATATTAAAGTACGTTGATACAGTTGTGTCTAAAATGTTGTTAAATGTTGTTGCTAAGCACGTTGCCATGGTAACGCAGAACACAATATCAAGTTAATACAAGACTCCTGGGACCAAGCAGGTTGAATTGATGTATCTTATGTGTGGGTGCATATTTCCATTTCGGCAGAAGACGATTGAAAACTCTCAGCCAATGAGAGAGCAGCGAAGGAGGAAAGGGCGGTTCCTGCCTTCTGACTAGTGTCAAAATGTCAGCTATGCTGCTAGTTTTAAGTGTATAGAGCTCAGAAAGATAAGAAACAGCAGTATGTTATAGGCTCAATAATAGGCTTTACACATTTATTTCAATAAGACTTGTTTGGGGATATACTTATGCACTTGTGTTACCATGGTAACAGATAACAAATTTAAAATTGAATACAAAATTCCTGAGACCAAGCTGGTTGATTTGATGAGTCATATGTGTGAGTGCTCGATCCTGCTTGGACAGAAAATAGTTGAACACTCTCAACCAATCAGAGAGCAGCACTGTTTTCCCGCCTTTTCCCCCGGCTGTTGGAGGCCTGCAGCTGTACTCCTGTTAATGAGAGAAGCCTTTAAATCTGTCCTTCAGAAGTGAAATTGGACCTGTCAAACTTCTCATCACCATTCAAAAAGTACTGCACCGATTTGAAAAATTCAAAAAGTGTGAGTGGCAGAAGGCTTTGATGGTCATCTGCGTGAATTTTTATGTGCCTGCCATGACTTGTCTAGAAGCTATGACGAGAAACTTTTAGCTGTCTGAAGACAATCGGAGGAGAAAATCTCTGTTCCTTTACATGAGTTTCAGTGAGACAGAATCAGGGTCTCTCCTCCTTCTGAGGCTTGTAGAGAAAGAACGGTAACACTTACAGATAAAATGAAACCCATTCTGAAAAGCTGACAAAAATTCCTACTTTTGGAGATATAATCTGTTTCGGTACTCCAAACGGTCTGGTTGTTGGAAAGAGTTGTTTCCAGAAAATGTGAAGGTCAAAAGTTAGAGTGCAGAATTTTCAGTTTAGAGTGGGGAGAGACAATTTTTTTAAATTTAAATATTCTCAAACAAATGAACCATATGACCACAATGTTTGGAGTAGGGTTGTCACGGTGTGAAAATTTAACCTCATGGTTATTGTGACCAAAAGTATCACGGTTTTCTGTATTATCGCGGTATTTTTTTAAAGGTGTTACATTTTCACACAACTGTATATCAGGAAAATATTGTCCTCAGTTTGTGTCTAAATTTAGCCTAAAATGTGTTATTTTGTAATGATGTTGTTTATTTGTTTACATATTTCCTCTTTAGATTTTAAAATGCCAACATTTGCCCATAATGTCTTGTTTTTTGCCTGTTTGATGTCATCATTTTAAAAATATTAGATCAGATGATACTCAGTACTCAAGTAGCCTTCTAATCAGATACTTTTTTACCCTTACTTGAGTAATAAACCCTATATCAGGACAATATTGTCCTCGGTTTGTGTCCTTCCAGTGAGCTTTGCAGATTTGGGAAAATGTCATCAGGCAGTAATCATTGTTAAATTCATAATTATTCTCGGAGAGAGACCAGCTCTTTTCTGACCCTGGGAGCCCCGTAACGCATAGCGTCATTTCAATATGGGGGCATCCGCGACACGGTGTATCTGCAGGTAGCGGCGCTGCGGCTGCTTTATAAAGCGACTCATTGCATTCTCCCTCAACCCAAATCCTCGGATCACGCACTTTAGCTAAAACGCTAACATTAGCTTGCCTTGCGTTGACTGTAGAGTTGTGGGTGATGGTCATGCAGATGTGTCATGAGATTTGAAGCATTGCTGCCTTTCACAGACACTTTTTCTGCACGTGCTGCAAACAGGATAGCCGTCTTCTATCAGCTGTCCCTCGGCATTCTTCAAATATCCAAAAAAAAAAAAAAAGCCCATACTTCCGACTTTGTCTTCTTTGAGGGATAATAAATGTCCTGAGCGCTGCGTCTCCTCCTTTGGCCATTATTTCAGCTTTAGCTTACATAAAGTTTTGGTTGTAAACAACAAAGTGTGCATGTGCCGCTGGCAACTTCAGCAGATGATACGGTGGCTGGTAAGGGTCACTGCACCTACACCGCAGCCACAGTAATCCACCGAGATAATGTATTTAAAAAAAAAAAACAAGCGGTTATGATTACTGTCAACTTTTTTACTGGGCTTTACCGCTACACCGGTTACCGTGACAACCCTAGTTTGGAGTACATTTATGATTTATAGCTCAAAACTAAGGTATTTCTGTTAGCTGCAAGCCAGCGTGTGCCTCATTTCAATCGGACTTACGATTTTCTCAGGACAATGCCAGAAATGGAGCAAAGGAGGGTCATTGCTCCTATCTCTGCGCATAAAAAGTTTTGTGATTTTTTTCTGAAAATTTTAAGCCGTACCTCAGCTTCTACCTGTGATTTTAGAAAAACTGTAATAGATATCAAAAAGATTTTTTAACCAGTAATAGCTGAATGTCTTGTGAGTTTGTTGAGACTTGAATGAAGTATCTAGGTTAAATTTAACTTATAAGATTAAGAGTTCAAAAAAGTGATAGGATTTAGCTGAAAATTCATTTCAATGGGACCAAAAGTCGCAGAAAAAGCTGAATGTCTCAAAAAGTATAAAATATTTTAATACCAAAAGTCATTGTCGGCATAAGCTGAACTAAATGAACGTTTTCATACCAAAATTGTGTGAATAGTTGAAGAATTGTGGAAGTAGTTAAATGCCAAAACAGTACGGAAGCAGAATAATAAACTACTAACTAACTATAAAGAGAAACAGGATCACTATAGTTTGAATGCTTTACAGCGAAAATAAACAATCAATTATGAACAAGAGTCTGCTTCCAGACCTGCAGTAAAACAACAATTATAAGAAACTGCTTGAAATTTATGCCAGCCGAGCCGACTCCATCCAGCTGCAGCAAGATTATGTCTCACCCTTTCACTTTCTTCAGTATTTTCTATTAAAATCTATTCAGTTTATTTCTATAACAACAAATCAGGACCAGAGTCGTCTCAAAGACCTTCACGTAGTAAACAATCCAGTACAGGTCAGGTCATTAAGCCAATTAGTACCAAGCTTCCTATATAAAGAACCCAGCAGGTTGCATCGAGTCACTGACTAGTGTCAGAGTCTTTACAGCAATCCTCATACTAAGCAAGCGACAGTGGAGAGGAAAACTCCCTTTTAACAGGAAGAAACCTCCAGACGATCCTGGCTCAGTATAAGCAGCCATCCTCCATGACTCATTGTGGATCAAGAAGAGAGAGCAGACACACACACACACACACACACACACACACACACACACACACACACACACAACTATTCTGTGTACGTGTGTGTAGTGTTTCTGTGGTTACATTGTGATTTCTTAGTAAATATTCTATTTGGTGAAATATCAACTTTATTGTATTTATCCTAGTGGATCTATAGTTAAACAGGTAAACTAGTAGTAGCACTTTGTCAAAAACTTGTCAAAACCATGACATGTCAGAAATGTTAACTTGTGTGTGTGTGTGTGTGTGTGTGTGTGTGTGTGTATGTGTGTGTGTGTGTGTGTGTGTTGGTTCCAGACTCGCCTTACTGCAGATAAAAGCATGCGTCTGCTGCTCTCCACCTTCAGCAGTCTGAGAGAGGAGCTCCTGCAGATGTCTGAAGACCTGCGGGTGAGTGTGTGTGTGTGTGTGTGTGTGTGTGTGTGTGTGTGTGTGTGTGTGTGTGTGTGTGTGTGTGTGTGTGTGAGAGAGAGAGAGAGAGAGAGAGAGAGAGAGAGAGAGAGAGCATGTGTGTGTGTGTGTGTGTGTGTGTGTGTGTGAGAGAGAGAGAGAGAGAGAGAGAGTGTGTGTGTGTGTGTGTGTGTGTGAGAGAGAGAGTGTGTGTGTACAAATGAGAGAAAAGTACTAATGCAGTTTCTTCTTAGAGGTCAAATATAAACTGTTTTAATCTAAGATGACAGAAAATGTTTTTTTTTCCATGTAAAAAAATCACCAGAAATGTTAAAGCTGCTTCCAGTGGCACATCAGGGTCTCCATAGTAACCTGGATTTCTACCAGGTTTGATGGAGGAGTCCTGGGTGTGGATTCTGCAGGTTGTTTGACGTTTCTAATATCAGGTGTTTGTTCTTACAGCGTCTGGAGAGCGAGAAGGAGTCTCTGGAACGAGACCTGAGCTTTAAAGCAGACCAGGCCCGGCAGTACGACTCCCTCCTGGAGACGGTCCGGGAGAACAGCAAGCAGCTGCAGGTACCATGGGGCTACACACGGTCCTTCAGCCCCTAAGGGATGAACCTTCAAACTAAAATCACCTGAATTTTATATTTAAAGAACAAGTCACCCCATGCCAGAGTATCACTCCGCTCCCACTTCCTGTTTGAAAAATGCAACAAATGCTGTTGGCTAGCAGACCGAGAGGGCGGATCCACTAACAAATACACGCACACACACAGGCTCACAACGACATTGTGACATCATATGGTACAAGCTAATATTCTAGGGTACCTCTTAGCCAATAGCAATGGCAGATTTAAGTTCAAATGCAGTGCAGAGTTTTTACCTGACAACGGCACAACACTGACAGTTTTAGACAGAAAATTTGAATTTTTACAAAAATGCACTAAAGTGCAAAACTATTGACTACACGTGTCTGCAGCACGATTAGACACGCATTCATATAGTTTATCAGAAAAAAAGTTGATTTGGGGGTGACTTTCTCTTTAAGGTAATACAGGCCACGAAGGCATTAGAGAGTTTCTACAGACTCGTCCTTCCAGTTCAGAACCAGAACCGGCTAAAAACTCTGAGTTTTTATGCTTAGCTGATTGTTACAACTCACTTCCTGTTTCCTGTTTGTTCCTGGGCATTTTCAGTCCAAATCCAGTGATTGGTGGCTGTGGCTCCAAATATTCTCCTTGTTACACTGATTTAAAAGTTTTAATTCTTCACTAATAACTAAACTACCAGATGAATTTTAAATCTTTAATTCATTTGTGACAATAAGGTTGTAATAATTATGTTTTGTTTCCATGGTAGCAATGATAATCTGAATGAGCTCTAATAAACTGTTCTGGATTATAACCATACAGATTACTGCCTTTTACAGATTAATAATAAAAATACTAAAGTATAAAAGTTATTTTAAGCATCAGAGATGCTGATGAAATGGTGGCAGAGTTTTTTCCAGAGGTCTTGACGCTCCGGGTTTCCGTGCAGATGTCTCTGAAGGCGGCCGAGTCCTCCAAGCGTTCCCTGGAGAATCAGCTGAGCAGCAGCCAGAGCAACAACTCTAACCGGGACTTCAAGCTGAAGGAGCTGGAGGGTCGCATAAGAGCGATGCAGAAGGAGAACGAGCTGCTCAAGCAGAAGGTTCCTCCTCCCATCTGACAGAACCAGGTTCTTTAGGAGGTGTCACCTGGAAGGAGGTCTAACCGATCCTGGTCCTGTCCATTTGCCCTGCAGCTGGAAGGTCAGAGCAGCAACGCCACGCTGCAGATTAAAACAGAGGAGTTGTCCCGGCAGTACAGCGATCAGCTCAGTGCCATGAGGAACGAGAAGGACCAGGAGATCCAGAGACTCAGGGTGAGATCCACCAGAACCAGGCCTGAAGGTGTCTGTGCAGGTTTCTGTTCTCCGTTTCTGAATCTGTCTTATTTTCTGCTTCAGTCCCAGATAGCGAGGATCCAGACAGAAGTCACAACCACCAAGACCAGCTCGGATGAAAGTCTCCGACTGAAGATCACCGAGCTGATGACCATGTTGGAGCAGAGGGAGACCACCATCAGAAGACAGGAGGAGGTCTGAAACAAAACCACAACTCCAGTCCAGAACCAGACAAACCCGTCAAAACATTCCTAAACCAGAAAACCTTCTCCAGTTTATTTATTTATTTATTGTTTGTTTGTTTGTTTGTTTGTTTATTTATATTTCAAGAGGATTAACCACTTGAGATGAACCATCTCGTTTCCAAGTGGGTCCTCTACAAATCAGAACAAATAGTAAACCAAGATAGCAAACAGTATTTCAATGCCACACATTGAAACCACAATAATAATAATAATAATAATAATAATATTAATAATAATGTTTTATTTAAATAAAGTCTATTAATAATGATTAAAATAAAAATAATAAATAAAAACATAAACACAAAAGAAAGATAAAAGTGAAAAATCAAAAACAATTACAGATGGGTATTAAATATTCATACTAAGAGAGAATTGTAGTGATGATTCTTAGGAAAACAGGCTAATTGTTCCAGTCTCTTGGTGCCAGCATTCTTGACTCTGATTTAGAGACAGTGATGACAAATAAAACATGATGCATTCTGCGAATGTGGTAGTTAGAAAATTCAATTAAAATAAACACACTTAAACTAAACAACAACCAGTGAAACTTCCACCTAGCTGCAGGCGTAAGCCGGGACAGATGATCATACAGCGGTGAGTTCCAAACTGACAACGCAGGACAAAACAACATAAACCATTATAAATAATATCAGTCTTGTGGAGACAAGGTGCAGCTGAGTTCTGGTAGATTATATCAGCATAATCTAATAAATTGAGTGACAATCCGCTTTCGTACATTAAGGTCAAAGCAGTTGGTTGAACAAAAAAAAGTTTTCAAGTGAAAGTTTATCTTGTTTACGATAGTTTGGATATGAGTTTTGAAAGAGAGGTTAGGCTTCAGCCAGACACCAGATATTTAAATACTTGAACAGAGTTCAGCTCAGATAAATCAGAGAAATGTAAATTTAAATGAACTTGGGAAGCAGAAGTGGCACGTCTCTGAAACAGCAGGATTTTGATTTGTTAAAAAGCTATTTATTACGAACTAACCAGCGTTGCATGCTATTAAAATTAAGCTGTAGGTTTTCTTAAATTGACATTAAACTAGGTTTTGAGCAGTATAAAACAGCAACATCAGCATAAAGGTGCACAGAACAAGAAGAACAGCATAATGGTAGATCATTGATAAAGATAGCGGTCCTAAAGAAGAACCCTGAGGAACTCCTTTCACAACCGCCCTACGTTTCTACCTAGAGCCATTAACAACAACAATTTGAGAGCAACTGTGAAAAAATGAATTAAACCAAAGTAGAGCTGTCTTAGATAAACCAAACAAATATAATTTATCCAAAAGCAGATAATGATCCACCATATCAAAAGCCTTTGACAGGTCAAGAAAAATGGCACCAGTCGCCAAGCTGTTGTCAAACCCAGAGTATATGTCGTTAGTAGATTTTAACAGCGCAGTGGTGGTCGAGAGATGTTTTCTAAATCCTGATAGGAAAGGAGATAGGAAGTTGTTTTCATCTAGATAATTAGAGAGCTGATTAAAAACTAGTTTTTCAAAAATGTTCACAACAGCGTTGATTATTGCAACAGGTCCGTAATTATTTAGCTCACAGGAGTCATCTCCCTTGAGTAACGGAAAAATCTTTGTGCATTTCCATTCCTTTGGGATCAAGCAAGTAGCAAATGACAGATTAAAAAGAATGGAAAGAGGATAAGCCAGAATATCAGAGGCTAATTTAATAAACCTAGACTGTATGCCATCTGGTGCCGAAGCTTTAGAGTAAGAGAGTGTTTTTGTGAAACATCTTTAGGAGAAACTGAAAAAATAGAAAATGAACTGGAACAGCTTTGGGGCAAGAGGCAGTTACTTATGGCATCTGAGGAATGTTGGCAAAATGCTTCTGCAATTTCGGCAGGAATATTTGTAAGATTATCATCAACTCTCATATTAGACATGGTAGAATTAGTTTTTCCATGTGAAATATGAACTGTTCTCCAGAAGTTCTTAGGGTCATTGAAATCAGCATTCGACCTGCTCCTGTAGAAGTCTGCTTTGGCATTCCTGGTCTGTGTGGTACAAGGATTTCTCCGTTTTTTTTTTAAATTCACACCAGTCAACGTGACTATTAGTAAGTTTAGCGGTTTTCTGAGCTTCATCACGCTGTTTGAAAAGGGCTATGAGATGACTACTAATCCATGGTAGATGATTGCCTCTGACTTTCACACTAATCCAAGGAGCATGGTTATCAAGCACAGCAAGAAACTCGGAGTGAAAACATTTCCAGGGACTCTTCAGGGGAAACCATAGTTCTCTCATGAAAATAAGGACCACGAGCGATGATAATGACCTAGATTTACCTCCAACGGGCTCCCAGACATCAAAGTCGTGAATGAGATTAACGAGGCGGCGCGGTGGAACACCTGGCTGCTGATTACGTTTGATTTGACGTTTGCGGTCGTCTTTCTGGTCTCGCTGCATTCTGAGGTTTTTCCCTCATCTCTTCTGCTGACATGAGACATTGGTTAATTAATGATCAGGAACGTTTGATGTCTCACCAGATATCTGCAGGAATGTTTCTCACACAAACGCTCCGCTTCAAATGCAGATAAGCTGGAGAAGTGGGAGGCTCCTGCAAATGGTCCCTGTTGTTCTACCGTGGTCATCAGTCAGAAGCGTGCACCCTCACACGTCTTCCAGGGTTAGGGTTTAACATCACACCAGCCTTCTGCTTCCCATAAGGTTGTCTGATTGGCTAAGACTCTCCCAGACTCTGCTACGTTTTCCTTGGTGAAACGTCGTGCTGCAGCTGGCAGACCCCCTGAAGTTATTCTGGCAGGAAGTTTTCTAAAACCTGCTGACCTTTGACCTCTTGTTGGTTTTACAGCAAATCCGCAAACTGACGCTGGAGAGGACAGACAGCTCCAAGAATGTCACCAAGACCATCATCACCAAAAGGTAAACCCAGATGATCCCAGAACCCGCATAAGGATCTGACCCGGATAGTGGCCTCATCCCTTTAGATGTGATGTTTACCGGTGCTTTAGCTGAGACGTAGCTGGTGGTAAAACCACGTCAATCCACAAGCTCTTGTCTCTTCATTTATTTATGGTTTGGGTTGGTAGGTACAGGAACCAGTACCCGATCCTGGGTCTTCTCAGCGACGACTACCAGGTCACCTCACCCGTCAAAGAAGCTAAAACCATCGTCATCGAGAGAACCGGAGAGATGATAAAACAGGTATAAACAGGAAAAATGAAGGAATTTCAGGTGTTGAACCGACAACCTTCTGATGTCCGACATCCTGCAGAAGGAACCAACATCTTTACTGGAACGTGTGCTTTATTTATTTGGGAGATTTGGATCTATTTTTAAACACGTGACTGAATGAAGTCACCAACAGGATTCTGAATTCAACTCAAAGATGTTTCATTAAATCTAAAATCTGATTGTTTCTAAAACCAAACTAAATCTCAGCGTTACAGGACGTCAGATGTTTTAGGAATCTGGTCACAATTTGGAAAATAAGCATGTATGGTTCTAGTCTGTTGCACCTTAAGACAGTTTAAATTAATCATTTGTTAATCTGTCTTCCAATTAAAAGATAAACTCTGTTTGGTAAATTACATCAATGAGTTTTATGATTAGTGTTTTATTCTTTAGCTTTAAGAGCCTCAGTTTGGCTCCACCTTGTGGTTAAACACATGCCTGCAGTCTCAGAGGTTCTGGACTCACCCTTCCAGTGAAAACACACACACACACACACACACACACACACACACACACACACACACACACAAATTGCTCTGGTGTTTTGATCCTGTTCCCGGATTCCTGTGAAACTGTGAGGATCATATCCAGAACCTCTTTTCTTCTGAAGTAATTTTGGTTAAAACTGAGATAAATGAGTCAGAAGTTTCAGGAATCAGGAGGTTCAGCTCCGGATCTGATTCCCAGACGGTCTCATGTTGGGTTTACCGTGTTCTAAGAGGTGGATCATGTTTGATATCTGCAAAAAGCTGATATCCAACATGGTTCCAATCCTAACGGTACTTGTGTTGTTTTACCTGCTCCATCCAAACATCACCATGACACCTGTGTAACACCTGTGTTTTATTTCTGAAACAGGAAATCATTACCAGTCCTTAAAGACACACCTCTTCTCTCCGACAGGAATGATTGAACGACAGGAAGAACCTGATGTCCCCCACTCATCCCCTCCCCCTGCATGCTCAGCCCCCTCCCCTCAGGCCTCTCCGGTTTGGTGGTGGTTTAAACGCACCCCACCCCCCCCCCCCCCCCCCCCGCCCACACACACACACACACACACTAAAATACAAGTCAAACTCACCTGTTGATACTTCGTCTTGACTGATCTGACGTACAGTTGGTTGAAATAAAGCAGCCATGATGGTTATGAGCTGCATGAGACGTGGTTTGGATCCCTCTAACCAACAAGAGTTCTCTTTGCCACTAATGATTAGGTTTGTGTAACAAGTTTATTGATGAGTTTCAATAGTTTTTATCCATTCTGAACTGTTAGAACTGCTAGAAATAATCTCTTTTACCCCTTGCAGACAGATTCCTGCTGAGCTAACAGCTCGGCTAGTTACAGCTAATGTAAGCTAACAGCTAGTCTGAGCTAATGGTTACTGTTAGCTAACAGCTAGTCTGAGCTTACGGCTACTGTAAGCTAACAGCTAGTCTGAGCTAACAGTTACTGTTGGCTAACAGCAAGTCTGCGCTAACAGACCGTTTATGTTGCTACCGTCCTCAAATAGCTCCAACAATCCGAATGTGATTCCATTTGAAATAATTTCATTATTCTCTGCTCTTCAGTTTCACATCACATAAAGTCAAGCAAGACCAGCAGCTAAGCCCTTCATCCAAGGGTTGAGTCCAGCAGCAAGTTATTAATATTTCTGCAGAAATAACCATTCTTCCCAAAAATCAAAATGTCCAGTGTTTTTTTAAAAGCCACATCTGCATAAGGGCAAACACTTTAGAAGGGCAGGTCTGTGGTTCGCCTTTAGTCAAGTTCGCTAACTGTTCCTCTGAACAGGTTTGTTTTGCTGTTTTGCTCTTGGCGACCACTGACCTCATATTTCCCAGTATTTCCAACATAGATTTTACTGGGAGTTCACTTGCAATTAGAAAACATAAACCAGTCGCTAGTAGCAATGAAGCTGCAGCACTGTAGCGCGCTGCCATGGCAACCAATGAAGGATGTAAACCATTTCTCTGAACATAGGCCATTCAGGGGCTACAGAGAACCAGTGAGGTGGGGTTGCACATGCATCTCAGTGCATTGCCTTCTGGGAAGTGTTAGTAAATTAAAGGCTGATCCCGGAGGAAGTGTAGCCTCTTCCACCGATAACTGAAGGATTTTACTGTTTCCAGATTGCACTGCAGTCACAACTTCATCTGGTGCGCACTTAAAAATGGCCAATTATCCCTTTTTTTAAAAATTAGGTTTAGTAAAACTGAAACCCAAATTCATCAGGACCAGAGAACATCATCGATACGTCTGAACAGAGTCATAAAACCTGTAAAACATTTTAAACGGTTTAGATTACTTGAGTTAATCACTCAGATCTACTTTTATTATCTGAGACGTTCAGGCTTCAAGTGAGAAAATGTGTTTAATCCTTCAGTAGCAACAATTAATGTGATTAGGTAGTTAAAAATGTGCTTTACAGAAATAAAACATGCTTATATTTTGTTTGAGACATTTGGAAAAAGAAAATTTATCTTTTAATCCAAAGATTTTTTTCTGTTCTAATGTGTTTTTATGGTTTTATCGTCAATAGAGAATAATTCACACGTCTCCAGAAGGTTCTAGAAGTTGCCAAAATAACATCATTATAGAAAGATTTTTAAAATCATTTATAAACTGAAGTTAAACGTTATTTTAAGCAGTTACGGTTCCTGTTGGTCGGGTTTTGGATCCAAACCGTCTCAGGCCCCAGTCGTCCTTAAAGCCACCATCTCCGTGCTCACCCAGGGGACGGGGATGTGGATGCTTCTCTGTTTCCTCTCTGCATGTAAATATCAGTGTATGTTTTCCCGATGGGAACGTTCGGAGAACTGTAGAGCGTCCCATCTGAGGCCTGGTTCTGAGGGACATTGCTGTAATGTTCTGATTGGGTTGTGGTAGTTTGGTTTTTTACTTGTGTTTTTGTGTGAATCAGAGGTGCGTGGGTTCACGTGTAGATATGTACACGACTGTGGGATCTGGGTCGGAGCTCTTGTGATGGGTCACATCCAGAACCGGTTCCTGTGGGTGGAACCCATCACAGGACGGATGGACGGAAGTGGGGCATGACTTTTGGGTTTTATGATGGTGGAAGTAAGTGTCAAAGCATGTTTTGTAAACTGAGGCTTTCTGTTTGTGTAACTGTGCATGTCGAAGGTTTTGTGTCCACTGGGTGGTAATCCGAGAGCAGCTGCTTCACCAGCTGATCAGGAGCTTCTTCAGCTGGGGCCTCATTTATCAAGCTTGCTTACGCACAAAACGGGGTCGGAAAACTGCGTAAGCAACTTTCCACGCAAACTTTGGGATTTATGAAAGAAAACTTAGCGAAAAAATGTGCGCAACTTTAAGTTGACTAAGGACCTGGCTTACACACATGTTGGACATGGAGAGCACCTGCAGTGCTGCTGCTGAGAAGGATAAAATTATGAACTCCTGCAGCATTATCACTTGTACTGCTTCGTTTTCACACAGAACAAGACCCCCCATGCATGCACGTGCGCACACACATGCACATGCATGCACACACACACACACACACACACACACACACACACACACACACACACACACACACACACACACACACACACACACACACACAGCCTGAAGCGCAGAATACGGAATGCAGAATATCAGCAGGGGGACAGACTGAGACAGAACATCATGCGTCTGTGACAGTGTGTGTGTCCTGTCACTGTGACCTGATTAATCATGCGCCCTGGCTACTTGGACAAGGGAGACCTCCGTTTGGCTGACTGGTTAGCGTGCGTGACTTTCACCCAGGAGTCCCGGGATTGAATCCCAATTGGACCACTTTTTTTATATCCACCACAGATCTCTCTGAAGAACACAACATTGACGGCTTCAGCAACGCTGTGCCACTCCGTGGATTTTTTCTTATTTGTTTTGCAAAAGCACTTCCTTTCATTTCTCCACCTCACCCACAGGTACCTCAATTTCTGCTTCTGTGAAATTGTGCTTCCTTGATCTACGGTCGCCATCGTCATTGGCGGAGCGCTGCAACAGCCGGCTTATGTATATGCATGACGTCCACAAGGCACTTTGCATTGACCATTTATGGCAGTAAGTGGGCGTGGTGAGGGCGGGATGTGACTAAAATGCAGCTGAGAAACATTCTCGTTAGTCTCCGATTTATGAAGCGGAGATGGCGTGCAGCTGTGCATACTCCATGTTTGATAGATCACAAACCTACTTGGCGTAAGTACTTTTTTTTGCTGAGCTTAAGTATGGTTTTAGTACGGATTCTACGCAATGTTTGATAAATGAGACCCCTGATCAGGAGCTTCTTCAGCTGATCAGGAGCTTTACCAGCTGATCAGGAGCTTCATAAACATGCAGAATTATTCTGAAATCATAACAAACTGAATACATTTTTACACAAAGCTAAATTTTACTTTAGTGCTACAGAATGATGATTTTTCACCCAAATCTCCTTGTCTGTTTTGGACGCAGAATTAAATACCAATTCACGTCGTCAGCCAGAACATTAGAACCACACGAACCTGCACCCTTTAATCAGCGTTTTCATGTGATGTTTTAAAGTTTTGTTTTCTTTAAAGTGAATAAAAATCATTTGGAGTCCTGAGACACTCGCAGCTTTTAGTGCGTCAGCTTTGAAACTGCTAGGGTTTTAAAGCATCACTGTGGGCATTATACATGTGTTCAGTTTATTCCAGCTCTTCTTTAACCAGCTGTGACTAAAGATCAGAACTGAGAAAAAATTATTTTACTTCCAAAAATTCAGTTTAGAATCAGAAGGTCTGAAGCTTGAACTTTGATGAGGTTGTTTTATTTTACTCAGCAGCTAAAGCTACCATTAGCCGTTAGCGTCTGTAGCTCCCAGAATCCCTTGTGGCTCGCTGAAGGCGGAGCTGTCCAGGATGTCCACAGCAACAGAACCCTCCAGTGGACACAGAACCTGTTAAAACAGATTTGGACCTCATAGGTTAGCGAGCTAATGTGGGTTAGCAACCATGTTGGGCCTCTATCATTCACTTGTTACCATGGTGATGAATCCTGCCTTTAATCTCCTGCTGAGGACAAACTCTTCTCTTGTAGCTAGCATGCTAACATGAACAGAGCTAGTTTAGATGTGATCCTTTATTTTAAGGAGGGTTCTGGCTGCTAGCTCTGCGGCTACGCAGCTTGGTTCTCTCTGATGACAAATGTTGCAGCTGATTTTAGATTGTGAATTAAAACGTAATATATCCGTGAAAAAGCTGACTCGAGTTTTTATTCAGGGGCTGGGGAGCCACAATGGGGAAAAGTTTGGATGGGTCCATGACAGACAGGGGGCCAACAAATCTTCTTTATTTTTATTTAATCATAATTACATTC